GTACCATCAGGGCCACACTCCTGTGCAGCCTCTAGGGGAGAACCCTTTGCTCCTTCCAGCTTTTGATGGCTTCTGGCATTCCTTGGCTTATGGCAGCATCACTCAAGTCTTTGGCTTCACATTACCTTTCTCCTTTGTGTGTGTCTGGTTGTCCCGAAATCTCCCCCTCCTTATGTAGACCCCAGTCATCACTGAATTTAGTGCCCTGTTTAATATCCAGTGTGATCTCATCTCAACTCGATTACATCTGTAAATAACTTTTTAAGTTTTAGAGACAGGGTCTTGCTCTGTTGCCCAGGCTAGACTGCAGTAACTCAGTCATAGCTGACTGCAGCCTCCGCTTCCTGGGCTCAAGCAATCCTCCCACTGCAACCTCTTGTATGGCTGAGATTACAGGTGTGCACCACCACACCCAGCTAATTTTTAAAGTTTTTTGTAGAGATAGGAGGATCCGGATATATTGCCCAGGCTGGTCTTGAACTCTCGGCCTCAAGTGACTCTACCTTAGCTTCCCAAAGTGTTGGGATTACAGGCATGAGTCACTATGCTCGGCCTTGTTTCTTAATAAAATCACATTCACAGGTGGCACAAGGAGGGGTAAGACTTAAGCATGTTTTTGGGGGCACACAGTTCAACCAGTTACAGCAATTCTGCTAGCAACAAATTTCTTCCAGTTTTGTTTATCTATGAATGTCTTATTTCACCTTAATTTTTGAAAGATCCTGTTGGTGCATTTAGGACTCTTTCTTTGAACATTTTGAATAGGTTATCTTACTGCCTCTGGCTGCTTCTGTTTTGATGAGAATCAACTATTGCAGTTCCATTGTAGGTGATGAGTCATTTTGGTCTTGGTGCTTTCAAGGTTTATTCTGTGTCTGGTTTTTGGAACATTTTGACTATGTTGTGTGTGTTTGTGAATTGCTGAGTTAATTCTCATTTGAGTTTGTTGAGTTCTCTGGATGTATCATAAATAGTTTCCAGTACATTTTGGAAGGTTTCAGCCATTATTTCTTTGAGTATTTTTTCCTACTCCTGTGTGTCCTCTCCTTCAGGTGCTCCCATTTCATGTGTATTGTTGTGTCTCCTGATGGCCCCACATTTCTTTGAGGCCATCTTCAGTTTTTATTTTCTTCTGTTGTTTGTATTATGTCTTCTCTGTTGATGTGTTTTCAAGTTTACTAATTCTTCCAGTTCACATCTACTGAGCCCCTCTAATGAATTCATTTCAATTGTTTTTCCATTTTAGAATTTCTATTTGGTCTTTAAAAATAATTTCTTTTCGTGTGTGTGTGTGTGTGTGTGTATTTTTTTTTTTTGGACGGAGTCTTTCTCTGTGGCCCAGGCTGGAGTGTGCAGTGGTGTGATCTCGGCTCACTGCAATCTCTGCCTCCTGGGCTCAAGTGATTCTCTTGCCTCAACCTCCCCAATAGCTGGAATTACAGGCGTATGTCATCACGTCTGGCTAATTTTTGTATTTTTAGTAGATACAGGGTTTCATCATGTTGACCAGGCTGGTCTCGAACTCCTGACCTCAAGTAATCCACCTGCCTTGGCCTCCCAAAGTGCTGAGATTACAGGTGTGACCACTGCGCCTGGCCTCTGTTTATATTCTTTATTTGACCTGACGCTGTCGATATATATATATATATATATATATATATATATGTATTTTATCATGGTTTCATTTGATTCTTTGAATGTATTTATAATGGCTACTTAAAGATCTTTTTCTACTAAATCTGATGCCTGGTCCTCTCATATGCAGTTTTTGTTGCCAGCTTTTTGTCGTTGTTGGATTATAGGTTATACTTTCTTGTTTGTTCGACATCTTGTAATTTTTTGTTGAAATCTGGACATTTTGGATAATATGTTGTGTCAACTCTGGGTGCTGGTCTTCCTACTCTCCCACACCTGGGCTTATTACTGTTATTTGTTTCTTTACACTTTTGTTGCCTGGTTGGGTTACTTTAATGAAGTGTTTACCCCTCCCGTGAAGCTTCTGAAATTGCTCCATGGTGACCACAGCCTTGGGCATACCCAGTTACCCTGGGATGATTGTCATGGCTTTGACTGTCTTTTTCTGAGCACATCTTCCATAATGCCCAGGGACATAAATTGCTTTATAGGTTGAGCCAAACACATTCAGGTTCCTTTGAATGGATAGTGTTCGAGATTTGTTCAGATTCAAGTGGAGGCCCTCCCCAACTGTCTGTGTCTCCGTTTCTCTCCAGCACAGCAGCTCATCTACATTCTGACCATATCTCCAGATGCTTTTACCACTCTCTTCCCAATTAGAACCCTCATCAGAACCCTCCCTCACTCTTTTTGGGAGCACTCTTTGGCTTGAAGTCAGTTTCTTTGGAGAGTTTTGGAGTACTTTGTTCTAAATGTCTGCTCCCTCACCTATCACCTCTCTAAGCCACAGCACTTGTGCTGTGGGTGTGGACAGTGGTGTATTGTAACCCTTGCTTTAGGAGCTGAGTGCCCGGGAACGGGGAGAAAGCAGCAGCCCCAACTCTCCTCAACTTGACTTTCTTGGTATGGGAACCCCAGCCCTTGACGCAGGGCAGGGGTTCTCTGGGCCCAGCAGTGTCTGTCCCATGAATAGGACCTGAGTGGCAGAAAGCCGCCACCTCTCACTCACACTCACCGAGAACTCAGCCTCAACAGCAGGTAGGTGGGGGTTGGATGAGAAATGTAGAGGTCCTTGTCCTCCCGCTGGGAGCTGGGTGTGGAAGGCTTCCTGTGTTCTTGGCTGCACTGCTCTGGAGTGCAGTCTTAGTGAGTTTTGAGGATGAGGAGGGGGTGGGTCTTGGTTCAAAACCCATTAATTCTTGCTGCCATTCTTGCCAAATTTTGGTAGATGTCTGGAATAAGTGTGTTTTCATTTGTTGTATGTCCTTAGAATTATTTTTAGAGACTTTAAGTGGTTATTTTATAAAATAGTTTTCACAAAGCTCACAGGGAGAGGACCAGTGGAGCTCCTCATTCTGTCATATTGGAAGTGGAATTTCTTGAGGCTACTAATTCTTTAATGTCTTTCATTCTTGGATCTTTTTTTTTTTAAGTACCTGTTCTGTTTGGTAGTTTTATTAGGCCGTTCTCACATGGCTGTAAAGAAATACTGGAGACTGGGTAATTTATAAAGAAGTGAGGTTTAATTGGTTCATGGTTCTGTAGGCTGTACAAGCCTGGTCAGTGTCTACTCAGTTTCTGGGGAGGCCTCAGGGAGCTTTTACTCATGGTGGAATGCCAAGCCAGAGCAGGCACTTAATCTCATATGGCAAAAGAAGGAGCAAGAGAGTGAACGGAGGTGGGTAGGGGTTCCACACTGTACAACAACCAGATCTCCAGAGAGCTCCCTGGCTGTGGTGAGTTCAACACCAAACCATGCAGGATCTGCCCCGTGACCCAAACGCCTCCCATCAGGCCCCACCTCCAACACTGGGGATTACAATTCAATGTGCGATTTGGCAGGGACGTATATTCAAACTGTATCAGTAGTGTTTGGTAAGAGGAGATATATTACTTTGGTAGAACTTTATTGATTAATTTCCAGCTCCAGGCCGGCAAAATTCCTGAGGCTTTACAGGTGTTTATATTATCTGGCCCTCCCTACCCCAACCACCTACCCCTAGGTAGATTCTTTCTGGGGAGAGAGATCTATGTGCTGCTGTCTCTCAGACCTCTTTGCTTGTGTATGTATCTGCAATGAAAACCTTTACTTTCAGCTCTTTACTAGGAATAATAATAACTTTGTCAGGTGCCACCCACTTGTCAGTTCTTGTATTTTAAAATACGTTGTCAAGTGTAATGTTCCAGCAAATTTATGAAGCAGATAGTAACTTCATTTTACAGAAAGAGAGACAGGCCTCTAAAGGGCTGTGCTCTTAATTGCTCTTTCTGCACTGTCCATTTCAGTAGCCACTCGCTGCAGATGGCACCAAGCACTTGGAATGTGGCTTGTCCACACTGAGATGTGAGATGTGCTGTGTGAGCAAAATAAGCACTTAGTATGGAAAAAATGTAAAATATGCTGTTAATATTTTCTGTACTGATTATACACTATGATTTTACATGTACACACACACACATACATACATACATACATACATATATTTTGAGACAGAGTCTTTACCCAGGCAGTGCAGTGGCGCGATCTTGGCTCAGTGCAACTTTCACCTCCTGAATTCAAGCGATTCTCGTGCCTCAGCCTCCCAAGTAGCTGGGACTATGGACGCACACCTCCATGCCTGGCGAATTTCTTTTTGTATTTTTCAGTAGAGAAGTGGTTTTGCTGTGTTGGCCAGGCTGGCCTCAAACTCCTGACCTCAAATCATCCACTCGCCTCTGCCTCCCAAAACAGTGGGATTACAGGCGTGAGCCACTGCACCTGGCCATATATACTATGATAATATTTGGGACATACTGTGTTAAATGTATTGTTAAAATTGCACCTGTTAAGTTTCGTCTATTTCTCTTGACCGTTTAAAAATGTGACTACTAGAAAGCCTGGAATTAGGTGTGTGCTTATACTTTCTTTGCTCTGCACTTCTCTGCATTATCGTTATTTTGCTTAAATAGAATCTTAGCTTTCCATGATTTGGAAAAGTGTGCCAATTACAAAAAGTATTATAAAAGTCTCTAACTCTTAGCATATCACATTTTGTTTCTTTTATGTAGTAAAAAAAACACTCAAAACCCATTTTATAAAGAAAACACTTTACTAACATTTGTGATTTAAAAAAAAAAAAAAACTATTCCATTAGTCATTTTTCATGCCTAATAATGTTCAGTAAGTTGTTTTTCTTGGATAGCTTTGTTTTTTAAAAGGCATTTCATTATTAAAAATGGCTAAGTGTTTATGATAGTTATATGTGAAACTTTTGTAATTTAAAATGTCAAGTCAGGAAATCTTAAAAAAATTGTTTGTGTTTGAATTATTTGCATTGTGTCTGTTTTAACTTAATAAAACTGATTTCAATGGACTCTTCTCGTAGATGACGACTTTGATCAGTTTGATAAGCCTGGTGCGGAACGGTCCTGGAGAAGAAGAGCTGCTGATGAGGACTGGGACAGGTATGTACACTCATATCCTTCTCTTGAGTGCCTGTGCCCATTTCTCTGATTCTGATGCTTGGCTTCAGAGGCACCTTTACTGAACACAGCACCTTGACTACCTGAAGCTCTCTCCTGAGTGGGGCTATCCCTCCTGGGCTAAAGTGAAGCTTGTCCATGCAGAAGGCTGTGGTGGGCCCCTATTCCAGGCCTGTGTTGTATGCAGGGCTGCCAACAGAACATAAGTCTTCTTTTCTTTTTCTTTGTTTTTGTACAGTAATGGTACTGACTTTGTGGATACCTAGAACCATTGCTGGAGCAGCTTTGTGTCGGAGTTCTCTTTCAGCTCTACTGTATACTAAATGTCTAGCTACACTTTAACATTTTTTTGTTCTAATATGTGTAGGATGGTATTTTACTATTTTAATTTGCATTTTCCTGGTTACTAGTGAAGATGAAAATGCCTGTTTAGGAACAGATGAAAATGACCTGTTTAGGAATACACGCAAACACAATGTAAAAATCAATTATGTTAGTAATGATGGATGGCAGTTTGATGTAGTGGTTACCTCTGGCAAGGAGTTTTAATAGAGATTAGAGATGTGTTCTGGGAGAAATACACAGTGGGGCTTAATCTGGGTGGTGGGGCTGAGAAATGGTGATTCTTTACAACTTTCTTAACATCTTAAATACTGTGTTAACAAAGTGTAACAATTACTTTGAAGCTGCAGTCAGTTTGAAAACAGCAGTGTCACATATACAAATTTTAAAGAATAAATCTACCTTGGAAACTATGAGGCTCTTACAGTCCACATAAAGCTGATTGCTCTTCAGTGACTCGTGCAGTGTATTAGTCAGGATTCTCCAGAGGAGCAGAACCAAAAGAATATATGTAGAAAGATTTATTAGGAAAGACTGGCTCATGTGACTATGGAGACTGAGAAGTTACACGGTCTGCAGAGTGGTATAGTTCCAGTCTCAGCCCATTGACCTGAGAACCAGGGGAGCCAGTGATGGAAGTCCCTGTCTGAGCCTGAAGGCCTGAGAACCAGGAGCACCCATGTCTGAGGGCAGAAGATAGCTCACCTCAAGAAGAGGGTGAATTTGCCCAACTCCAACTTTTTGGTTAATGTCTGCCCACATTGGTGAGGATGGATTTCTTTACCCAGTCTTTGGAATCATTGCTAATCAGCTCTGGAGGCACCCTCATCGACTTTCACAGAAATCATGTTTTGTCAGGTAGCTGGGCACTTCTTATCCCAGTCAAGCTGACGCACAAAGTCAGCCAGTGTGCGTTTTAACAATTAAATAATGCTGAAACATGAAGTCTTTCCTAGAAAATAAATGGTCTTACTAGGAAGTATTAAAGCTAGTTTTGTCTAAAACACTGCAATGGTGAGTTGAATAAAGTGTGAAATGGGTCTTTTAGTAGCTTGCTCATCATTTGAAGTTCCTCTTTGAATGGTGTGTTCGCATCTGTTTGTTTTTCTTTTGGGTTGTCTTTTGCTTATTGATTTTAGGGAAATTTATTTTTATTGTTTATAGATGTCTCCTCCCAGTCTGTGGCATGTGTTTCCTTAAAAAGTGGGCTTTAGGTTTTTGAAAAGAATACAGTCAATTGTATAATTTTTTCTGTATGGTTTTTTATTCTTTTTTTTTTTATTAAAACATGAAAAAAGAAGTATTTGGAAACCCTTTTCAGGCTTCCAAGAAAGTTGCAAGAATAATACAGAAACTCCCACTTGACCTTCTCTCACACTCAGGAGCTGCTTTTTGTCAATTCATGTTGTCGTTCTAATTCTTTACATACATGGATATACTGTGTGTGTAAAATTTTCTTTCCTGTACCATTTGACAATAGGTTGCAGGCTCCCACTTCTGAATGCTTCAGTATAGTTTAGCATGTATTTCCTTCAAAACAGGAACTTTCACTTGTATAAATAGTGTATAGTTTTTAAAGTCAGGAAGTTTGACAGACATCTAATTCTATATATGTGAGATTTGTTGTTGTTTTGGAGACAGGGTGTTTCTCTGTCACCCAGGTGGAGTATAACGGTGTGATCATAGCAAACAGGAACTCCTGGGCTCAAGCATGCTCCTGCCTTGGTCTTCCAGAGTGCTGGGATTACAGGCGTGAGCTAGTGTGCTCTGTCCAATTCTATTTTTTATTCTACGCTGGTTATTCAGGTGCTTTTCAGTTGTCCCAATAATGTCCTTTATACCCCTCAAAAGAATTTTGTTCTGGTTCAAGATTCGGATCATACATTGCATTTTTCTTTCATTATTGTGAAAGAATTCTGTAGTCTGTCTTTTATGACATCGACATTTTTGAAGAGTACAGGCCATTTATTTTGGTTTGCTGGTGTTCCATCGTGACTGGCGCAGGCCGTGCCTTGTGGTCAGGATAGATGATGTGCAGCCTCCTGAGCGCCCACTTCATGAGGCACAGGAACGTGGTTTGTGCTTTTTGTCCTTAAAAAATTCTTCCCTACCTTGTATTCTGGGTGTCTCCTGCATGTGTCTATGAAAGTTGTAATTTTTTTAAACAGTTAGATAGTAAGCTGCCTGAAATTGATTAAATTGATTGGTTTTTTTAACTTACTAACAAGCTCAAGCATATGTGAAAATAGTCTCATACGGTGAACCCAGTGTGCCATCCTCCAGTTTCACCCGTTATCAGCATATAGCCAATCTCTCATCCATGCTCTCTGCACCTCCCTCAGATCAGTTTCACAATTCCATCTGAAAATTTTCAGAATATATTTTTCTAAAATGGCTTTACAAGAATTTACAAATACAGCCACAGTAGTTACTGTATCTAAATTATTACGTTATGGCCCCTATTACGTAAATATCTTAGTGTTTACATTTCCCTGATTGTCTCTTATATTTTTGTGTATCTGTGTATGCGTATGTAGCTGCATATATGTATATGTGTATACACACATTTTAAATATATGTGTGCGTATACTGTACACTTACACAGTGTGGATATGGGTCTGTGTATTTTTTTATAGTTTGAATTGGGTCCACATGGTAATTGATGGGTATGTCTTTCAAGTGTTGTTTCATATGCAGGCTCTCCCCCATCTTATTTTTAGATCCATGCAATTTTTGTTGAAGAAACAAGGTAGTGTGTTTTCTAGAATTTTTCCTTCTGCTGATTGCACTCCTTGAGGTGTTTTTAGCATGCCCCTTAACTGCTGATATTTTATGTGAATTAACAGATCTAGAAGTGGATGGGACTCAGGTGTGAACTTGGCGGGGGCTGGGGTGTGGCAGTGTTGTAAGTTTGCTGTGTTCCTCATCAGAAGCTACTTGGGGGCTGGTGGACTTCAAGTGGTGAGATGTCTGCTTTTTCGGTGACCTATGAACTAGTTGCTGCTTCTGAGGTGGAGATGATATGGAAAAGACATGGTAAGTGATTGAGCCTTTCCTGTTGTTTACCAAGTTTCAAGCTCGGACGTCAGCCTTAGCGTCTTGCACGGGTGAGTTTTGTATTTGAATTGTTTTGAAACGTAGGTTTAAATGTTGGTTGTGTTGAATCCATTGTAGTTGAGTATCTTTATTGGTGGTTACATTGCCTGATATTTGTTCGACTGGGATTTCTTCAGGTTGGCTCCGTGTCCATTTGACATGACTTTAGATGCCTTTGGCAGCTGTCTTGCTTTCTGCTCTGATGGAACTTGTTTTGGTCATGGTGTGAGACAGGGTTCTAGTTTTTATTTTTTATTTTTTTATGAATTACTGTTGTCTCAGTGTTGTTTGTGAGCAGGCTCTTCCTTTTTATACTGCCTTCAGTGACATTTGCATATATGAAGGTTTTGCCACATATATCTGTTTTTTGACATTTTAAGTGTAAGACAGCCTCTCTGTTTGCTGCATGACACAGAGAGAGACACTTGGAAGTTGAGAAGAGTGGGTCAGGAATTACTATGGTAAGTCCTTCTGCCATGCTGTACTGGTGGTGTTTGGACGAATAGGATGTCATTGCTTAACCAGCACCTGTTTTTTTTTTTTTTTTTTTAAATATAAATGTCTCATGTCTCTCTGCAAGAAAGAGAAAAAAGAGATAGTACACTCAAAAAGTTGTTTTTGTTTTTTAAGAGTCTGCTCTGGAGTGCAGTGGTGTGATCTCAGCTTACTGCCTCTATCTCCCAGGTCCAAGTGATTCTCGTGTCTCAGTTTCCTGAGTAGCTGGGATTACAGGCATGTGCAACCGCACCTGGCTCACTTTTATATTTTTAGGAGAGCAAGAGTTTCGCCATGTTGGCCAGGCTAGTCTTGAACTCTTGGCCTCAGGTAATCCAACCGCCTCAACCTCCCAAAGTGCTGAGATTACAGGCGTGAGCCACCACACCCTGCCCAGAAAGTTTTAACTGAAGAAATTTAATGAAGGGTCTATTTACAGGGCAGGGTTAAAGAATTAATGAGTTCATTCTCATCCCAGGAGTACGAGGGCCTGCCCAGGCCTTGTCGGAAGTGGTGTCCTAGGGCCCGGTGAGGGCTGATGGGGGAGTGATATTGTAGTCTCTATCCCTTCAGGTGAGAAGGGAGAGGCTAGTCTTTCTCCTCCCATTTGGTGACGTTATGTTGGTGCCTCCCATTGGGCGAATCCATCTGGAAGCCAGAGGTTAGGACAGCCTGCGCCAGCTACTCCTGGAGGACGCAATCCAGGCACAGAGCAGGCAGGTAGGACGGAGAGAGGACTGGAGCGGGGAGGACCCAGAGACTACGGCCCCATGTACAGTGGTCGAGTTCACTTCTGGTTTTGAAAGGCTGCAGACAAGTAGCTGACAACAAATACTTGTTTCTTGAAAAACGTCTTTTAGGATAACTTTGTTTCTAAGTAAAAATATACATGCTTTCAAAGACCTCATTGTCTGTAACCTTTAATGAGAATGAGAAATGCTTGCGGAAAGGTTGTTTGTACTCAAGTTGTGATTACTGGTGGAATCTTTAGGGTGCTCTGAAATTGAACGCAGGAAACCTCTTCATCAGCCCACTGTTTGTTTTATTTCCTAGAACGCTTATTGCTACTGGCAGCCAGAGTGACTGCTTAGCCCTTTGAAATGGCCAGATGGAGACCAGTCATTTCCATTAGTTCATTGTTGTTTTTGGCAGGAGTTGATGTAGTTTTACATATGTAAATGTATTCCTATGTGTACATCCTTTGTGAGGGTCCAGCTTTACAATGACAAGAAGAAAGGTCCACGTAGTTTCTGTGGGTGTGTGCATAGTAGTTAGGACTTGGACTCTCATTGGTGTCACCATTTCCTAGCTGGGTGACCTTGGCCAAATTATCATCTTAATGTCTCTGTTTTCACATTTTAAAAATGGGAACAGGTAAGGGTCTACCTGAGATGGTTATGATGTCAATTAAAAGCTCATATATGTGGAACATGTCAAGTGGTGCCTGGCACAGTAGTGTGCTGAGCAGAGGCTGTGGATCGCTGGGGCTGCTGTTGATGCGTGCTGTGGCTCTCTACGCACTGTCCTTCATCCTGTTTCTCATTAGTCATGAAACAAGTACCAGTCTTCATTTTCTCTACGCATTTTATAGTTGATATGCTTACTTACCTTTTAAAAATGTTTTTGTTTAGAAATAAGTAGTTATTAAAGGTTGATTTGTTTCCATGTACTTGTCAGCAAAAGACACAGATACTTTCCAGATTTTTGCTTGTGTAATTACTAACACCTGTTCTTATGACTTTGTCAGTTAGTGCACCCTGGGAAACTGGTATCACATTCTGTTTTTAGTTACTTAAGGTGATGGTATAGAGGGGTGCCTGTCTTCAAAGCAGTGTTTGTGTGTTTCTGGTTATCTGGAATCAAATTCTCAAATGGGATTGACTAGACAGTGTTGTTTTCTCCCTGCCTCTGGAGGGTAGTTGGAGCACTGAAGATACAAAAATTGTATTTAACAAATGATAGTGGTTTTAAAATGTTGGAAGAAGCTATATGTTATTCTCTTGTAACTGTCTTATAGGAGTCTGTGAAAGATTGCTTTTCAAGGGCTGTTAAGTTCTTGTCCTGCATCTGTCGCTGCTGTGCGACCTTAGGCAAGTTATTTAATGTATTGCCCTTATTTTCTTTATCTGTAAAATGAGGATATAGGACTCATTGCAGAATAACTTAAAATGATGAATAAAGTCTATAGTGCATGAATTAAATTATTTGTCAGGTTTTTAGTTCTAAAAGGCATTATACAGAAATATGCATTTCATTATAACTCCGTTTGTGCATTCCTGGAGATTTTAGTATCCTGCCAAATAGCATACTGAACATAAACATGAGTTTTTGGTAAAATAGTGCTTTTGCAGCTTTCTCAAAACCTATAGAATTTTGTAACTAGAGCCCCCATTTAAAAAGTAGCAATTCTAATAAGAATATTGATGCGGTTAAATCTCCATGAGTATTTGCACCTAGAATTGTAGTCCGTCTAATTGTATTTCTTTCTTGTACGTGTCTTTATGTTGGCTTTTAATGATAATTTGCTTCTAAGAGATTGGTTTCACCAGAATTAAAAACAATCCAGTGGCAGTCATTTTTATCAACTAAACAAATCTTGTTTCTAATAAATGCAGTGGAAAATGTCTTCAGCTTTTTGATTTGCTAAGGGTTTCTGTTTTAATTGTAAAAATAGGGAGAAAGCCTGCTTTTAATCATTTAAGACAGAAGTATGCTGGAAAAAATTGCAAATCACTGATATGACATCCATGCTATACAAAGATAATTCCCTTAGTTACTGTGATTTGATTTTATGTTCTCATCGGTTTTAAAATTTATTTTTTCAATTTCTGTCAGTTTGATGAGTGTCAAATGGTCTCTTGTGGTTTTGGTTTTTATCTTCCTAATTAATTATATTGAGCATCTTTTCCTTCTTCATTAAAGGTTTTTAAAGATAGGAGAAAGCTTAGATATGGCTTACTATATTGCAGCTTCTTCTTTTACTTATTATTCAACAGGTTCAAAGAGATTAAGATCCCATATTAAGGTGCAAAACTAAGATTAGAAGTATAGTGAGGTACCACCTATAGCAAAGCCTCCTCATAATTAAATGTTCTCTGTGCATTTAAAAGTACATTTTTATTATTAATAAAGAAAAAGGAAAGTATAGCAAACTTAACATAAAAGTACCCAAGCTGAGTGGGCGCAGTGGCTCACACCTGTAATCCCAGTAATTTGGGACGCCAAGGTGGGCAGATCATGGGGCCAAGAGTTTGAGACCATAGTGAAACCCTGTCTCTACTAAAGATACAAAAAATTAGCCGGGCGTGGTGAAGGGTGCCGGTAATCCCAGCTCCTTGGGAGGCTGAGGCAGGAGAGTTGTCTGAACTTGGGAGGCAGAGGTTGCAGTGAGTGGAGATGGTGCCATTGCACTCCAGCCTGGGTGACAGGGTTATCTCAAAAAAAAAAAAAGTGCCCGAGCTGTAGAGTTCTTGGTAAATTTCCAAGTGACCTACAAACTTTCAAGTCTTATGGGAATAATCATTGACATGTCTTGTCTTTTTTTTCTTTCTCCCAAGTGAACTTGAAGATGATTTACTTGGAGAAGATTTGCTATCTGGCAAAAAGGTAAGAAATTTATGTCCTTCTGAAATGACATAGTTACTTAATTGTACTTAAAATATAGCCATACACCACCTATACATGGGTTTCATTACTGGAAAGTTGGGTACAGATTAACATTTTGTAAATTGAGTTATTTTTTAAGTGTACAAAGAATTGACTGTTTATTAGTAAGTTCTCTGGTAATTATAACTCAAGAAATAAATCCTTGAAGATTAGTTTCTACTTGTCCAAGGCACTCTAGCAGGTACTAGATTGTGACAGCAGTAACATAAAACTGTTCCTTGCCCTAACAGAAGGTCACATTTGGAGGTTAATATTTTGAATACTTGTTCTGGATTTCACTGTTTGGGGGCATTCAGAAATAAGCTTAAAGGTAAACATACTCAAATATGATAAACATTAAAATAAATAAGATTAAAAGTCTAAAACCTGATGTAGGCTTTTCTAAACCTTCTTGATGAAGTAAAACATTTTGTAAATATTGTGTGTGTGTGTATATATATATATGTATACACACACACACACACACACACACACACACACACTCTGCCAGTATATTTCCGACATTATAAAACATACATAGAAGTAGAACTATAAAGCAAGAAAGTGAAATGCTGCTTTTTTTTTTAATTACCAGTTTAAAAACAGTTTCTATTCTCATTAGCAAGATATTTAGGCTTAGTTTTTAAAAGCCATAAAATCATGATGGTTTGTTACTACCAATAGTTACACTCAAGCTATTATAGTTTTAGGTTGAAATTAATGCTATTGGTAGTGTAAACCTGTATTTCAAATAGTGTGGTAAGTTCACGTCTTTTGACTGATTTATCACATCCTGTTAGATTTCCCTTTTAATCTCATTTGTAATGTAGTTAAGATCTCTTAGAGGAAGTACCAGTTTTGCCATTTTCTTGTAACTTACTATATTGCGTGATTAGCATTTTAATGCATGAATGTATTTTAGAATTCTTTTACAGCCACTTTTGGATTCTGCTTTCTTTTTATTACTGCATTATCAGTCTGCAGGTAGCCTGGCTTTGACCTATGCCCACTTTCCCTCCTTTAGATGGCTCTGTCATCAGTTCTAACACTAGGAATTAGTGTGGTTAGTTGTAAATCCACCTGATTTAATAGGAGTAAGTAGGAGATACATCCGTATAAATTGAACATGAAAGCCCAGTGTGAGAGCGTCGTGCTGGTCCATGTTGTAGTGTGATATCTGGAGTGTGAGTGGGATGCTCATTCCCCCTTTGTCATGATCATTGGGGGAAAAGACCACTGTTTTTATCCTGTACCGGGGAATTATTTTGCACTCTTTGAGGTGCTCTCACTTGTACTTACGTACCTAAAGTGGATACTTTTTTATTTAAGACGCTTTAATGAAGAATAACAATTAAATGTTAAAAGGTTTAAGTGTAAGTAAAATACTTTGATGTGAAGTTGGATTTCTATCTGTAGGCAAGCCTCATGTCACTGTTTGCCCTGTGTTTCTTTCCAGAAAGCTGTAATAATTCCCTTTTGATACACGCATGACCTCCTCTCATAAAAGCTTTGGTCTATTATCAGTAATGATGGAGAAATACTATTTGGTTTGGTTAGTAATACTGACCTGGGGGAAGTCACCTTACTTTTTTAGCTGAGTTGATGGTCCTAAGTAGCTCACGTTGGACTGGAACTGGCGCATGCTGAGTGACAGTGCATTCTGATGTCTCAGTGGAGAGGCTGCATCTGCTGTGGACATTTCGCAAGTGTCATAGAAGATGTGACACTTGGGACAGAAGATGTGTCTCTCTCCTTTCCTCTTCTCTGTTCTTTCCTAACATAAAATAAATGCATTGTACCTCATAGTAATCAAGGTGCTCAAAATAGATAAACAAAGAAAGCCTGAAAAAAATAGATGTAAACAGTCATGACTAACATTTTGCCATCTGTCTTTTATTCTTTTCCCATGTGTTTTTAAATATGATCGAAATATTGGCTGGGCATGATGGCTTACACCTGTAATCCCAGCACTCTGGGAGGCCGAGGTGGGCAGATCACTTGAGGTGAGGAGTTCGAGCAGCCTGGCCAACATGGTGAAATCCTGTCTCTACTAAAAATACAAAAATTAGCCAGGAATGGTGGCATGCACCTGCAATCCCAGCTACTCGGGAGGCTGAGGCAGGAGAATTGCTTGAACCTGGGAGGCGGAGGTTGCAGTGAGCCAAGATCACGCCACTGCACTGCAGCCTGGGTGACAGAGTGAGACTAGGTGTGAAAAAAAAAATAATGGAAATATAGATAGAAAATGTTACTTCTTTTTAATTTAACATTGTATCATTGGCATTTCCCCCTTGTCATTGGGTTATTTTCAAATATTTTATAATGGCTACATAATATATCAGCGTTTGTGTATTCTACAGTGTGTCTAGTTACTCCTGCGTGCATTTAGGTTGTCTCCAACTCATTGCTTGTGATCTTTTTGTGGAAGATCTCAAGCGTATACAAAAGAAGGGGACGCTGTGGCTCACTCCGTCAGCCGCCCAGCCTCAGCCACTTCAGTTCAAGGCTATTTTGCTTTCCCTTTACGCACCTACTCCCTATCTTTGGAATCTCAGACATTCTGATGATATTTTAATGAACAAACCTTACCATGCTTTTGGGATTTTTTTCTTAAAAAGTTTCTATAAAGAGGAACTGGCCGAAGGGTGGAAATATTGCATGATTCTTGTCTTGTATTGCCAGCTGCTTTTCAGAAATGTTTGATCTGCTTATGTTCCTAGCGGCAGTGAATCAGCATTGCCCTCACCTTTCCGTGACCGTGTTTGATACCACGTTTTACAAAGAATCTTTGTCAGTGTGATAGATGAAAACTGATTTCTGGTTGGTTTAATTTTTATTTATTTGATTTCGAGTGAGAGTGGAATGATGGAATGTTTTTCACGTATTTATTAATGAGGTAATTACTACGGGGTCTGTGAGTGAAGTTCACAGTGATGGGTACACTGGCTGCCTGACCACCGTCTTTCTCCCACTGGGGTCCCCACCAAATGCACAGTGATGAGCCTTTGTCTGGAGAGACTCCTGAGGCACACATGGCCTGAGGGTGGCGCATAGCACTGAGGATGGCACATGGGTCAGACTGTCAGGGACAAGTTCATTTGTGTCAAGAAGGGAGATTGTTAGGGCTCAGTTTTAAATACATAATTAAGGTTTCAAATTTAGGATAAAGCAGGCTGATATGACCAGGCTAGAGCTTTTAGAAATCGGGTAAGAGTGAGGTGGAAGTTGGCTGCCAGCTTGCAGTTCTTCCTTTAGCTTTTGTATTTTACTTCATCAACTAGTGTTGGACAGATATTCTCCTGATACATTGGGTTGGCTCCGTTTCATAGATGCCTGTGTTGGAGAATGTTTTGGGAACCATTTTCTTCCCACTTTTAAAGTCTGGCTATACCACCAAGGTTCTATGTCCTTAGGAGTAGTGGAGGGAGCCATTCTTTTTCTTTCATACATGTTTCTCTCCCCGTGGGAGAAATGACCTGTTTGGAAAGATTGAGAGAAAAGGTTTCACTAGCATCTGTGGCCACTTTACCTTCATCTCTTGGGATCTATGGCCCTGCTTTCCTGCAGCCCATCCTGAGCAGAACCCTCTGGAGCCTGAGAAAACTGTTCCAGTTCTTTAGGATGTGTTGAAATCGGCTTTGGCCTCAAGGATGTAGCCTAGCTTTCCCTTCCAGCTTTTTCAGTTAAGCGGATGTTGTGCTCATCGCCTCCAGTGTCTGTTGCTTAGGGGTTTAAAAGCCAGAGAGGAAGGTTGAATCCTCAGAGGGAGATTCAACTCCCAGGAGGGCCCACCACAGCATGCATTCCCTTTCTGTTTGCTTGGGGCATTCTTGGCTGTTGATTTTTGACAAATGCTGAGTTTAACTGAAAAGCTCAGAGAAACAGCCTCTCGAATGAAATTTGTTTCCCATTGAATTATTAATTTTTAAAGATTTCCTCAGTTTTAATTACTGAGTCGGGCAGCCAAACGGAGGTTTATCTGTGGTAGGCCTGGCTCATAGCTCTCACTTTCCTAATGGCATCTCATTTCAGTCTCAGAACTGGCCCTATGTGGATGACAGATTATATGGTCACCTAACAGAAACTTCGTTTTCTTTTTTTTGAGACGGAATTTCGCTCTTGTTACCCAGGCTATAGTGCAGTGGCTCACTGCAACCTCCACTTCCTGGTTTCAAGCGATTCTCCTGCCTCAGCCTCCTGAGTAGCTGGGATTACAGGCAACCTTCACCATGACCAGCTAATTTTTTGTATTTTTAATACAGTTGGGGTTTCACCATGTTGGCCAGGCTGGTCTTGAACTCCTGACCTCAAGTGTTCCACCTGCCTCAGTCTCCCAATGCTGAGATTACAGGCGTGAGCTACCTTGCTCAGCCAGACACTCATATTCTGTTGGTTAAGCAGCCTGTTTTGTTATCACACATAGGCATTCTCCTTTATGCAAGTAAACTGAGTATGTTGCCTGTGTTATTTTATTTTTATCTTATTGTGGTGTCAGTGATTAGGTTGAGTCCCGTGCGACTAAGAAGTATTAGTAAGATTGTTTTTGACTGTCAGAAATACTGTAATAAAGTATGCGGGTAAGTTTTATAAGGAGTCACTACCAGGAAAAGACTGCTTGTTCGTTCACCTTTAAGTAGAAAACCAGGCTGATTTTTCCGTTTACTTTTTAAGAATCAATATGTGTGTATGACAGTGTGTGTGTGGCTTTGACTGTCTTTTGTGAAGGGAGTAGTAATTTATATATATCATTTATATGTATAAGTAATTTTAAAAAGGGAGGAAAGTGTGAATAAGTAGTGTGAAAGTATGAATAACACCCCCCCCCCCACCAACCTAATCTAAGATGCTGGAATATATTTAACCTAACAAAACCTGGAACTCTTAGCAAAAGAACTAGGCTTTCTCTGCTTATAGGTAGGAGCACCATCAAGAACAGGAGTCGGGGGCTGAGCTGCTAACATTTATTTTCATGTGTGATCTGTGTTGGAAAAATCAAAGTTTTATTATAGCCTCTTCAATTTAGTGATTCAGTTGTTTAAAATCTGCTTATTTCTAAAATTACATTTTTTATGTTGTTTAAAAAATCTTTAGGTTTTGGATATTAGCTTGTTAAATTTAGTAGTACCTTAAGGATATCTTTCTTTTTTGTGTATTATAAGGAAATATTTGTTTGTAAGCCTTCCCCAGAGGACCTCTTACCTTTCCTCTTTTGTGTGAGAATAAATGTGATCATTACACTTCATGTTTTTACATTTAACTTGCCTGGGCATCTGAAGATGAGCTGAGGAGGGATCCACATGCCTTGTGTGGGATCTCTTAATTGTCTACTGGTGACCAGAAAGCCTTCTGGGTGGCAAACGTTTTAATATAAAGCCAGGAACAATTCAGTCAGTGTAATTTTGTACTTTATAACAAAAGTCTTTTTATGGAAGTGACATACATTAATTATATTTCTTATTTTAATTAGAATCAGTCGGATTTGTCAGATGAAGAGCTAAATGATGATCTTTTGCAGAGTGATAATGAAGATGAAGAAAATTTCAGGTACTCAGTATTACCTCATTATAAATGTTCTTTAACTAAATTGATAGGAACTGTTATTTATAATTCTAATGGAATGTAATTGAATAATGCCTTATATCTTTAACACATGATTACATTCTAAATGGAATATTAGTGGAAACCATATGGATGTTCTGTAAACAGAGCAGCTGTGTAAAGTCACTAGGTCTTGGCCAGGTGCAGTGGCTCATGCCTATAGTCCCAGCACTTTGGGAGGCCGAGGTGGGGCGGATCACTTGAGGTCAGGAGTTCGAGACCAGCCTGGCCAATATGGTAAAACTGTCTCTACTAAAAATGCAAAAATTAGCCAAG